GCTTGTGTTCCCTCTCTGGCTGTCTCTCTCTCTGTCAAATAAATAAAATCTTTAAAAACAAAGAAAAAGAAATCCACATGCACTAAACAGCCCATAGCATCATCACTTGTGCCGTTTACCCTTTTATCTTACCCTGGATTTTCTGCTTCTCCCCTCTTGGGGCAGCAGAGCCATGCTCCGGGCAGGGGGCCACTTGCCAGCTCTGTGACGTGGGCTAGTAACACAATCTCTTTGAGCTGCGGTGTTTCCATCTTTAAAAAGGGAATAGGAGAGAGGCGCCTAGGGGGCTCAGTCGGTTAGGCATCCGACTCCTGATTTCCACTCAGGTCATGGTCTTGGGGACCTGGGATCGGGCTCCGCCCTCAGCGGGGAGTCTGCTTCTCTCCCTCTCCCCCTGCCCCCCTTGCACTCTCTAAAATAAATGAATAAAATCTTAAAAAAAAGAAAAAGGGGACTAGGAGCCCACTGACCTCATGGAGCTGGCTTGAAGACTCTGTGAGTTAATATATGCAAAGTGCATGGAACCTAGCAAGGGCTATAAGCATTCGCTAACGACAGCTCTAAATCCAAGCTGTATTTCATTAAAAGTTTATAGAAATACTCTCTATTCAAATCCCAAAATACTTAAGGACTCCTGGAAGAGGCAGTTTCTAGTGTGTTTTATCCCCACCACAATCTCCTGCTCCTCTTCCATCCCGCTCTCAGCTGGCTTCCTCTTCTTCCTCACTTGGCCCTCCAAGGCCCATTCACATCTCACCTCACCCTTGAGGAAGCGCCCCAGCGCTCAGATGTTTCTGTCTACACCACACTGGCCCGGGGGCACTATGCACTCATTCGGTAACTCACCAGGCCTGGGTGAAGAGAGACTGAGCAGGAATGCACTGTCACCTGGAGAGAATGACTGTCAAATCAGAAGTGGCATCAAAGTTTCCCTTACCTTTCAAACTGCACTTTCTTATGTCCTCCTTCTTTCACATAGTCAAGAACCTGCTTCTGAGTCCGACCACTAGAAGGAAGAGGATGAGAGGGAAGAGAAGGCAGCAAGGCATTCTTATTTAAACACATGACACCCTATCTTTCCTTCCCCTCCTTCCATCACCGGGAGAGACGACCTCTGAGAGACGCTGTATGTGCCCATTTCATCTCTTGGTATTTCCCTTCTAAATAACAGTGTTCCAGTGATAACACCCCTTAATAATTCTGTTTGCTTATTAAGCAACCATCCTGAGAGTCCGTATGCTTCGAGGAGGCAGGGATAATTCTGTTCACTGTGCATCCCCAAGGCCTAGAGTAGGATTTGACATGTGGAAGACACTCAAATGTTTGTTGAAAGAAGGAGTGAGAAAGTGAACCAATGATGTGCAAGTCTATGCGGCATTCCAGGAGGCTACACCAAAGGTTAACACTTGCTTCTACAGAGAAAGGAAATCCTTTCTGATTAGAATAAAGGCAAGTCTCAGGAATGTTCCCATGGCAAACAGAGGTGTGGAAGGAAATCCTTACCTGAACCGAAATGATGACCCTCGGCTAAAGAGAACGGGCTTTGGCTTTGGTTTGGGCTCTTCAAAAAGTCTAAAAAAGGCATGATGTTCAACACAGATTTTCCAGAAGGACTTGCAAAAATCCCGACTGGCCATGAGAAATTCCAAGGTATCCTGGTACGAGCTCTAAAAAGAGAAAATACCACTGTGGGTTTTTTTTTTTTTTTCCATTACCCGTGGACACTGGGTTGAAAAATGAGAAAAGGGACAGAAAACAAGTATGTCCAATAAAATTTCAATTGTGTATTTTATTATATAGCAAGACCATGTTTAATAAAATACAGCTGTTCCTAATGACAAAATAAAGTCATCATTCAACCATTTCCCCCCCACAGAATTCCTTAGAGGAATTAAAGAAAACAGGAATACTTAGCAGAAGTCCTAACATTTCTTTTGACAAAATTCATAAACAAATTTTGTGTATGCGGCTTACATTTCCTTCTTTAAAAAAAAAAAAATCCAAGCACCGAAATCCCTTTTTTGGGGCGCCTCGGTGGCTCAGATGGTTAAGCATCTGCCTTCGGCTCAGGTCATGATCCCAGGGTCCTGGGATTGAGCCCCACATCAGGCTCCTGGCTCAGCGGGGAGCCTGCTTCTCCCTCTCCCTCTCCCTCTGCCTCTCCCCCTGCTCATGCTCTCTCTCTCTATCTGTGTCTCAAATGAATAAATAAAATCTTTAAAAAAAAAATCCCTTTTTTGCCCCCTTAAAAATAACTGAAACACACTTCTTCATTCTATTTTCTCCCTGAAGGTTCACGCCAACTTTGCATATTGGTCTTAGATCTTTTCTCTGTCGAGCCACATATGGCTCAAGCGTCCAGGTGGCCCCAGGGACCACACAGGAAATGAACATTTTTTTTCTGGAGCACAGAAGTATCACTCAAGGCTGAAAAAATCATGTCCTTTGAGTCTGGAAAGCGGATAGTGTCATTTTCTATTCCCAGCCTCAACGTTCTCAATGTAAGTGGCCGTATTCTATAAACAGGACTTACCACAGTCTTCAATGTTCCCAGCAATTCCAACTATTTTGAGGGATCTCACAGTTCTGGGCAGTCCCAACTTACAAACAAGCATGCCATAATTCTGCATTTGTAAGTAACCTTTTGGAACTCAAAAAGCATTTTCCCATAGAAAACAACTTATAATGGGTGGCTGCTTCCTGGGTCAGGCCATAAAAGCTGATTTAATCCACTCTGTAGCTGAACGATAAGCCTAGAGATGGCCATTTATCATCTTTTTTTTTCCACGGGGGGGGGAAAAAAAACAACACTCTAAGTTCTGGTTGGGGACATCAGAAATCTATCATCCATGTCCTCCACTGCCCATCTCCGGCAGGGGAAGAAGATGCTCTTTCTTCCCTGACCCCGTCCTGGGGTGAGCGACATCTTTAGGGGTTCTGCAGGAACTGGGGTAGACCTGCTTATTAGCTTGTGAGAATGTGTTGCCAGAGACTTGGGGACAAAAGTGGGGATGCGAAAGCTGGGGACAGCTGGAGGCTTGTGTGGGCAGGGGTCAGCCCCGAATCTGGGGGATGCTAAGTGGGGTCTCAAGGAGGTGGCCCAGAGGCGGCAACCCCAGCAACTGTAGAGGTCAGGCTATGGGGGGGGGCGGGGCACAGCACATTCTTTACTCTCGCTCTGTCTACGCAGGTGAAAGTGTGGTTACTGAGCATCTGGGCACACCTCTGGGTGCAGACCCTCAGACACCGGCACAGTGCTGGCCGCAGTTCCAGCCTGTGCCCCAAGAGAGCCCCTCCATCCCCGGGATCACCGGGTGGGCTCCGAGGTCTGAATCTGCACCACCCCCCCCGGCCCCACCCACTTACGTTGGCATCAGGGCGGAGCTTGATGAGAAAGCGCTTCCTCTTGAAGCTCAGCTTCCTCACCTTCGCCCAGTTGAAGGCGTTGATCTTAGTGAAACCCTGAGAAGAAGAAAGGTATCAGCCAGTGAGCCAGGAAATGCATAATAAGCAACATGGGGGTTGTTTGCCTCGGGTATGGGGAGCTGTCGTTCGAATGCTCAGTAAGAAGGCCTTCTGCTAGAGGATTCTCAGGATTCGCTGCTGTGGATGATTCCTGTTCCTGGAGCATTATTTTTCACTAATTATAGGCTTTGGCATTCAAACTAAGTTTGCCTCCAGGGAGAGGAGCAGCCGGCCAAGGGAAGGATAAAAAGAAAGACAAAAAACAATAAAAACCATGACAACCACCACCATTATAATTAGTGACCATCACTTTCGGAGTGCCAAGCACCCCGTAAGGACTTTATACACCTCATCTTTTCAAACCTTAGACAATACCCAGGGAGATGGGTTTATTATCTTTCTCTTACAGATGTGGAAACTGCTGCATGGACAGATTTTAATTTGTCCAAAATCACACACTTCATGTGGCAGAATGAGATTCCCGAGCATGTGCCTTAGCCAGCAGCTAACTGTTAATCTCCATAAAAGCAACACAGCAGGTTAGCAAGCAACCCCCTGGCACACACAGGTCTGGCTCCCAATGCCCAGCAGGCTGCCAACCGCACGGGCAGGATGGGGAAGGGAGGCCCGGCCCGCGGTGTGTCTTCTAGACCAGAGAACAGTCTCAGGGCAGGACTCTCACGTCCTCATCTTTGAAAGTCAGGTGTGGAGAGACAGGGTGATGGAGAAGCAAGGGGACATTGCCAGATACCAGCTCCCATCTGTCCTGTCATCTCAACTAAAATTAGAATTCCCCCTGAGCCTGCTTGAACACCAGAACCGTTTATTTAAATTGGTAAGAATGAGGCAATTAAGGACTGGCAAGAAGATTAATTCCAAGATACAGACTTTGTACATGATTAAATAACTGAGCAATTCTCAATATTTAGATTCTATCACACATAATCAAAGCGAATTAATTCAAATGTGAGGCACTTCTTCCCCCCAACCTATGACTTTTAGAAATGTTTAAGGCTTCTGATTTAAAAATTTCATGGTAGGACTGAAAACTCTATTTGGTTTATTGTCATTTTGCTCATCGAGTCCTCCTAAGATTATTTCAGCAGGTCAGAGACTATTAAGAGCAGTCACCTCCTCCAACACCTTTCCCATATGAAACCCAACTTTGGCTCCTCTTGGGACGGCACTCTGTGATAATTCATGTCCGTCGTAAACATCTGATACTGGAGAAGAGAAGCCCTGGGACTATTTTGGTAAAACAGGAAGGGAAAATATAACTGAACCTGGCAGAGCCTGAAGAAGTATTTTAGATTATGTACATATTTACACCTTCAGAACAGGTGAAAATGACCCAATTTAAAAGGCAGACACTTTCTCAGTACCCCTTTGAAACCAAATCACAGATGACTCGCTTTTGTTTAAAAGAAAAGCACTGAGGAAACCTTTGGGGGTGGTGAATATGTTCATTGTCTTGATTTCATTGATGGCTTCAGGACATATATATATATCATTGATGGCATATATATATATATAAACTTACAAAACTGCATACATTAAATATATGCATTTTATTCTACGTCCATAATACCTCAATGAAGCTGTTAAGAAACAAAAAGCAGCATTGATCAACAGTACAACAGCAGTGTGATCAAGAGAGTACACATTTCAGAGTACAGAAAACTGTATCCTTAAGTAAAACACAGGTAAGAATTCAAGTGCAGTGTTTTGCTACAAACTTACTATAGCACCTGGCTTTTAGGAATTTATAAAACTACTAAATCCTAAAAAATACGCTTTTCAAGTTATGTATACCTGAAATCACAGATCAGCCGACTGAGGTAAAACCTAAATTCGGTTTTAAAACCCCTAAATTTGGGGGGAAAAAAAAAAGCAACTAAAAACCTTAACAGGTTAAAAAAAGGGGGGGAGGGGAGGAAGATGACATGAGTATCATGTGTCAGTGTGAAGAAGGTATTTATTTGGGGGGGATATAAAATCCTGATTCTATTATACTGGGTTTTGAGCAGAGGTCCACTGAGAGAGATTTCTGTGATCCTACAAAGTCAACAGACACAAGCAAATCTCGATTTGTGCATTTCCCAACCAGAGCAGGGGCCAATGGAATACGATCTGGAAGCTGAGGCCCTGGAAAGAAATCGAAACCCTGAGGTGAGGTTAGTTTTTTCCTGTTCACCTAAAAGTAACTGTCAGAGGTCTTAACTTGGCCCACCCAACATGGAATCAGAATTGAAGGGCCAACTCTTATCTTTCCATCACCTAGGGAACTGAGCTGTGTTCTAAACGCTCTTACCTGAAACACGAGAATTCCCGTGTTGGCAACAGCCAGGTTGATCTTAGTGCCTTCCCTGTCCTTAGCCGGGTGCAACCGGATCCCATACATCTCCAGCCTACGGGCAATCTCCAGGAGTTGGAAATCTGATTCTGCTGGTGTTTGTCCACTGACAAAACAAAAATTAAAGAGAAAGGCCAGGAGATTTGAATTCCCTGTGTCTATTAATTTGAGATTAAGCAACTTCTCTTGGGAAATAAAAAGGCATTTCATCACAAACAATGGAGCTACCTGATCAGATGACTCCCAACCCCCCACTCATTATCACCCAAAGTCAAGCAGCTAGGACAAAAGCCCCATTGCCTGTGTAACACAAAACCCCAAAAGTCTATCTCACATTTACCCTGGTTTTTTTGGGAATCTCAAAGAGTTTCCTTTAAGGTCATATAAAAGCAAAACACCACGGTGTTAAAACATGTTTTTAGTCGCTTACAATAGGCCTACACTTGGAAGCAAAGTTCATGGCAACATTCTTGCATATGATCATCAAAGCTCAAGTACCCTCCTTAAAAACAGCAACAAAAACAGTAGGCCCAGAGCATCTTTTGAAAAATATTATACTGATCAAGACAAAAAAAAACCAAAATGGAGAGGACAGAAAGGTTCTAGATTTTCATAACATTCCTCCTTTGCCCTTTGTTGACCATATCCCTTTCCTGATTTCTTGTTAATTGGTCTTACATTCTCCCTTTAATTCCACAACATGGGAGTCCTAAATTCCAAGGCCTATCCCAGTAGCACAGGAAATCAAAGAAGGAACCTAGAGCTCTGGTCTTAAGTAGGTAACCTGCATTTGGGAGTCCAGGGTGAGTAACAACAGCCCCATGAATCTCTGTGCTCTTCTCCCTTACCCTTTGCATATTTCATCCCAAAAGTTAGTGTGTGTGCACACCCACCTGCGCTGGAAGGACAGAGAGAAACAGCACAAAGGGAACGCAAGGCACCCAGTGGGACTTACATGTGATTGTGGTGAAACTCCACGATTTTGTCTTCTAGTGCATCTTGCTGAGGTATGTACTTGTTTTTTGCTAAATGCTCTCTGTCTGATGCTTCATCAAAATCCCCAATCTCGGCTACCAAGAAACAGAGAAAGAAGACGCAGCCATATTGGATTAATACTTCACAATCTGTTACATTCCCCCGTGGAACATTCTCCAGCTAGCAAAGCGGAAGGCAGTGGACAAGGTGAACCCAGACTGTGGGTATCGTCAGGGCCGGACGTCAGAAGACTTCCTGTGAGGACACATTTAACAACTGTGCCAACATGCCAGGATGGATTCCACTCTTTCTCATCTCTACCAGCTGGAAAGAAAACTTCAGCATCCATCCATCTTCATCCACCCATGTTCCTGATTCCCTCCTTCCTCCCCACCCAACCGGGACAACTTGTTCTAGGCAGTAAATTCTAGACATGTGGATTTATGATTTTATGACTTCTAAATAAGCCCCAGAATTTCAGGATTTTACAAAAGCAACTTTTGAAACTCATATATAATAATTACTAGTGCAAACCCCAAATGCCTTCTCATGTAGAGAAAAGCTAGTGGTAAAAAGGTATAAACATACGTGATCTAATTTGGTGAAATAAAATAAAGTTTATTAAGTCTCTTGTAGTTCTAGCATCAGAAATGACAGGTCAAACTGCGGATTCTTATGAATTTTTCATTTACAAGGAAGATGAGGCACATTTTTCTCACATAACCTCTACATCATCCCCGAATTGTTATGATCTGGAAATCTAAAGGAAAGACCTTTAAAGTAATGATTGTACCTTAACATCACTAGCTCCACCTCAGTTTATATCAATTTAATACCTCTGGGACAGCATGGCTTTTTCTTTGAATCATATGGTCTGTGTAACAAGCTTAATAAAAAGTAGCCTAATGACCAGAGCCCAGGTGTTTTGAGTAAAAGCTAGTGAACGGTTGCTATGAAACCTACCTGTCATTCTGTCATGTGAAGCAGCTTGTCTCACTCTGGGAAATGCCCCACCAGTAATCATGCAGAATATGGCCTACGTGTTCCTATAAATCGCACCCACTGAGAATATTTGCTCTGCACAAAACAGTGCCAACTCATCTGGCTCCAGCTAAGCCAATAAAAGAATCAATCATTCTCTAGCCCTCCTGCTGCTATGACAAACCAATAACTTTCCTTCCTAAGTCTGGGAGATCTTCAGTAAGCCCATATATAAAAAATAAGAAGATAAGCATGGTCTCTAGAAATACCTCATCATATTAGGCGCATTCATTAACCACTAGGAGTGACACTGGGAATCTTGTTACCTGGGCAGTTATCCGAATGGGCTGATTCTACGGGACTACTCTGGATATAACAGAAATTTTAAAATGATATGATGGCACAATTTCTTTTATACTCATACGTGACATAAATATCTTCCTGAAACATACGTGTATATTCCAAGTAATTTTTGCCTTGGCCAAGAAGGAAAAAAAATGCCCAGCTGGGTTGTCAATAAGCCTTAGAATGAGCACAATCTAATTTATCCTTTGCCTAGATTAAGAAGGTTAAAACATCCAGTTTTAAGCATCACTAGGATTCAGTCCAGCCTCATGCGTCCTGGGGTTTACTGAACTCTGGAGAACAGAATACAAGAAGCGCCATCGTTGTTTTAGGTCTTAAGGTCTTAAGGCCAATATGCCATATTCAATAATGGATATTAAGTCCAAGAACAGGACAGAAGAAGTTTAGTTTACTTGGACACCATCTGTCCAAGCTTCTCCTCTGAGTCAACTGAGATGATCAACAATTGCATACTAAGTCCTTAAAAAAGAGGGGCACCCCGGGGGGCACTGTCGGCTGAGCATCTGACTCTTGGTTTCGGCTCAGGTCGTGATCTCAGGGTCCTGAGATGGAACTCTGCACTCAGTGTAGAGTCTGCTTGAGATTCTCTCTCCCCCTCTGCCCCTCCCCCCTCCATTTTCTCTCTCAAATCAATCAATCAATCAATCAATCAATCTTGAAAAGAAAAAGAAAGATAAGAGTAGACAGATACCGAACACAGAATTCACAGGCCAATGCTGGGGGGTGGGGGGTGTGTGCGGACACCCATCAAGTACGAGGAGTATGGTCTTCAACCCACTGGCACTCATGCTCACAGCAAAATAGCACAAAGGCATAATTACTGTGTTTAGTGCATGTGAACATTTCCCCCCCATCGATCAGATCACGGCGGGCTCCCGCATGACCTCGGGAAGCGACGGACGCCACTTACACTGTACGATGTGTGAGATGAGGAGAGCCGCGCTGGTGTCATTGCAGGTCAGCCTGCCCTGAGCCAGGTCCTGCTTCACCTGCAGAGCGAACAAGTACCTGCGGGCACAAATACACACGGCCGGCGTCACGGACCCCTCGGCCGGCGTCACGCCCCGCCCGGCCGGCGTCACGCACCCCTCGGCCGGCGTCACGCACCGCCCTGCGGGCGTCACGCAAAGGGGGCGGGCGGTTCGGTGTCAAAGTCAGGCTCACTTCCGGCAACTTGTGAGGAACTAGAGAAAAGTACCCAAAGCAAAGCAAATAAAAGTCTGCCCCGGCCGGACTGAACGCCCGGGGCCACTGACTGCAGTGTCAACATTCAGCCGTCACTAGAAGGACCAAGAGACGGCTGGAACCGTGTCACACGAGGATGAATACATTTTATTCTGTGGCTCTCCCTCTCCATTTAAAAATCGAAGACTATCGGGGCGCCTGGGTGGCTCAGTTGGTTGAGCGTCTGCCTTCGGCTCGGGTCATGATCTCAGGGTCCTGGGATCGAGCCCCGCATCGGGCTCCCTGCTCAGCAGGGAGTCTGCTTCTCCCTCTCCTACTCCCCCCGCTTGTGCTCCCTCTCTCACTGTGTCAAATAAATTAGAAAAAAAAAAAAAAAATCGAAGACTATCTTACGCCACTCTCTATATAATTTTTGCAGAGTGTAACAAACGTGTACGTTTTCTTCCCCACAGATCAAATATACTGAAAAATAACTTTCAGGCTCAGATAATAACAGGTGCTTAATATTATGGTTAGCGAGAGCTTTTTTGCCAACCAACTTGGAAAGACAAGAGTGTCTTTTTTTTTTTTTTATTTATTTGACAGAGAGAGACACAGAGAGAGAGGGAACACAAGCAGGGGGAGCGGGAGAGGGAGAAGCAGGCTCCCCAGAGAGCAGGGAGCCCGATGTGGGACTTGATCCCAGGACCCTGGGATCATGACCTGAGCTGAAGGCAGTCGCTTAACCGACTGAGCCACCCAGGCGCCCAAGAGTGTCTTTTTTGTGTGGTGAAATATTCACTTAGGTCCTTCCAAAAGGCTCAGTTGCCAGATCTGTAAAAATTAATTTTACAGTTATTTTTATATTACAGAATAAAGCAAGTAAACATTTTTGGTGAAAGAGAAAAGAGGTATCTATAAATCAAAGATATTAAGTAAAAATAGTGCAATGTAAGAACTGATTTGGAAAAAAAAAAATCAATAGGAACTCCTACATTTTTAGAAGGGTATTTGCTAGTTTTGCCCACTGCCTAGAGGTGCTACCTCAGTAGCAAATCTTGGCAGTCGGATTCTGGCACTCTACAATTACTGGAAGGTCACAGAGGTAGGTCCACAGAGAAATGGTAGATTCCAGATAAGGGGTGGGTATGAGCCTAGAATATCTAGTGATACTAGAAAGCAAGGCAGCTTTGAAATATAAATGGGTTATATTAAAAAGGCAAAAGAGAGGCACCTGGGTGGCTCAGGGAGTTGAGTGTCTGACTTTTGGTTTTAGCTCAGGTCATGATCACAGGGTTGTGAGATCGAGTCCCAGGTCGGGCTCTGCACTCACCGGGGAGTCTGCTTGGTATTCTCTCTCTCTCTCTCTCTCTCCCTCTGCCCCTACCCCTATCCTCCCTCCTCTCATAAATCTTTAAAAAAAAAAAGGGGGGTAAGAGAAACATCTTGAAGGGGCGTCCACCTGCCAATGCTGTGGCGACTTGAGTATCAACAAGAATAATAAAAGTGAATCAAAACACATGGAATTGATGAAAATTCATGAGTCCATTTCAATATTCAAAGAGAAAGCAGGAAAAACTGAAGGTATCACCACTGGAGGAGACTATTAGAGCAATATTTGGTTACCTGAGGCAAAAAATTGAGCATGGACTCTGCCTCTCCAATAGGAGTGGCATTTCAGGATATACAGAAAATCCAAGTAGATGAGGCAAAGTTCCTTACAGAAGTATGCCAACTAATAACAAGAATCCTCCTTCCACAACCTCTAAAGAAGTTACAGACTCTGGCATGGACTGTTAATTCATGTAGAATCCATTCAGGAGACTGGATGTTTGCACAGACAAAATAACATGACTTCACTTCGCAGTGGCAAGATCAGACCACCACCACCCTAATTCGATGATGAATCTTAGCATCATTAATGAAATGGGAAGCACACAACATCACTTCTGATGGATTCTAGCCCAAAATGTCCAACTTGTTCCATCAAATGTACAGAACTACCTTCTAGTTTTCTGGAAATGCAGAGGATAGAGGAAGAAGCTAAATGGCACCACGAGGAAGAAATCTGACAAATTCAGGAGGTGGGATACTTTATAGTATAACTCGTCCAGTTTCTTCAACGAGGCGGTATCATGAAGGAAAAAAAGGAGGGACTCTGCTAGATTAAATGAGGTAGGGACAGGACATAACCAAGTGCAATTCTGGTCCTACAGTGTATCTCCTTTTAGATGAGCAGATATAAATGACATTTATGGGACAAATGGGGAAATCTGAGTATGGTCACGATATTAGCTAACGAAAAGTACATATGGAAAAATCAGAAAGGATATCACACTCCTGTAGTACCTAATGGTCACCCCTGGGCGACAGGAATACAGTATTTCACCTTATTTTTGCTTATCTGTATGTTCTAACTTTCTACACTGTACATCTGCAATTTTTGTAATAATGAAAGGTTATTCTTAATTTAAAAAAAGAGGGGCTTTTAATAAGATCAACCACAGAGGTTGCCATAAACATTAAATGAAGTAACCTATGGAAAGCTCAGTGACTAGAACAAAAACATTCAATAAATATTAGCAATTTTTCCCTTATACATGAAAAACCAGAGGTGCCTGGCTGGCTCAGTCGGTAGAGCATGTGACTTGTGATCTCAGGGTCATGACTTCAAGCCCCATGTTGGGTGTAGAGCTTACTTAGTAAAATTAAAAAAAAGAGAGAAAAGAAAAATGAATCCCCTTTTAAGTTACTTAGGAAATTTCATTATTAAGAACTAAAAAAACTAGAGAGGCAATTCTGTAATCAGCTCCCCCAAAAAACCCAAGTCAAAAAACACCCTCAGATCCACCACTTGGTAACAGTTGACCTTTACCCAGGCTCCCCCCCACCCATTTATTCTCGCTCTCATGTTTTCTGTCTCTAGGAAGTCGAAGGGAAGAGAAACAGAGAATCTAAAAGAACCCAAACATCAACATACAGGTTTATAAGGGGAGAGGCAGCACAACCATCTTTCTAGATTAGGCAGGGGTACGATTTTTTGAACCTAACACTTCCTAGCCCTATAGACTTTAATCCTCTATCTGGTTAAATTTTTAAATAAGTCGAGGGCATAAAAGCATTACATTCTGAATATTTTACCATCTCCCGGTTCAAACACGAGGTCTTGTGTTCGTGGAGAAATGTTCGGGGACAGATGAATGGTCAGAGTCTGACAGGCGCTGGGAACCTTTGGTGATGGTCTCGTGTGGGCTCCGAGGCATCAGCTTCCGGAAGCTCACACATTTAGGCATTTTGAAGACTGCAGGAAGAGCCTGTCACTCCTTAGTCCTGCTGAGTCTTCCTGTTCTGAGGCCCTTGTAACATGAGAACGACCTTCCCGGGTCCTGACAGTTGACTTCTCAGCGACAGCTGTAAATCAGGGCTAACTTTAGAGATTCACCAACACCTTTCGTACTATAAACTGAAGCAACCACAATCAAATTCACGGGAGCTAAAGGCTCAGTTAACTCGGCAGGCGCAGAATAAAATGAAACCAGTAAATGATGGAAACGCAAAGCGCTCAAAACAGAGTTTGGTCCTCGGCAGCAGGGTGGGTGGCAGGAGAAGGGGATGATGGTGGCGGGGCTCATCAAGAGGGCTTCTGGGGACGGCAAGGGTTGCAAATCACACCAATCTGAGGCCCTGCTTTAAATGTGTCTATTTTATTTCATTTGGGAGCTCTTCATCTTTCTTTCCTTACTCAACGGAAAGTAATTTATAATTTCTCTGCCAGCCTCAGGAGACGCTTGAGTAGGCCTTGAAGAGCAGCAAGTTTTGATGGATCTCACCACCGCTAAGAAGAGCACAGCCAAGGAGAAACTGGATCCAACTGAAGACAGGATGCCCAGAGCAAAATGTGCCGAAATGCATCGGGCTCAACAAGACGGACTCAGAACTCCGCAGTAAGAAAACCTGGTAACTTATTTCCCAAAGACCCTTCCCCCTCACTGTTTCAAACCCACACCTACTTTTCTCCTTCTAGAGGCCTGGGCCCTGGTGGCAACAGGACATATTGCCACGGGAAGTGTCGTTCAATAAATAGAAAGGAATTCGGCTCCTTGGTTAACAGCGAAGTGCTATTTAATCTTCTGTCTACATAAATGGGAAGCTGAAACCTATTCCCGAGGCCCCGAGAATTAACTGCAGAGCTAGAGTCACTTATAATCTGCTAAACTGCGGACCTGCCTCTGTCGCCCTCTTGTCCCCATGTCCCTCGGCTAAAGTGCTGTCCACACAGAGCTTCTCCCAAGCTCCCCCCCCCCACCCCCCGCAACTCCCTGTCTGCTGCAGAAAAGTGCCTGGAACCTTACTGGTTGCATCATTCAATTTCTGCTTACACAGGAATTTGAGAATGAGGGAGGCAACACATTGGATCGGGAAGGTCCCCCTCCTGCTGCACCTTGCGAAAAAGTCAAAAGCGAGGGAGAGCTTCTAAAATTTCCTATCGATTTTCTTCACCCTTGCACCAAAAGGAGTCTCTTCTTGGAAAAGGTTTTTTAAATGTGGGTTAACACTGGGAGCCAGAAAACAAAGACAAAACCCCAAAGTTGCTACATCCAGCTGAGCCTTTGTCATCTGAGGAATTTATCGGATCACACAGAGCAGCTGGCCACGTACCAGGCACACTTGGCTAACAGGCCCCAAGCTGCATGGAATTTTCTAGCAAAGACCAGAACGGGAGGAAACTACAAGCCTCTAGAGACAACGATTCACAAATACTGAAAAGGCGCAAAACTCAAAGCAAAGTAGAATGGGAAGGGGAAAAGCAGGATTCATGCCACCAACTGCCTAAGGAGGATAGAGGTGCAGTGACCTGCAGGAGGGGCAAAGGCACATGCCCTGTGACAGCTGGACTCGCCTTCAGACTGATGTCAATATTCTGAGCTTCGAGCAATGCACGTTCCAACAAGAGGAAGCCCAGCCCAGATGCCGAGACCCAGTAGCCCCAGCGGTAACACGACAGGAAGCCTCTACTATCATTGGCCCGTCTTGTGCCTCTCCTCCACGTGAATTGTTCTAGTAAACTGCACATACTTCCCAGAAGGCTGACGGCTCCTCTATTTCCTGGCCAGTTAAGGGCTTCGTCGCTTTGAGGATTATCAGTGGAGGTCAACACTTAGCAGCAACTCATTCAGAAAACGCAGAGCCATGGGAAGAGCCATGGCCTCCACCTCTTCCTGGAACTCCATGTTCGTGCACCCAGCGCCCTTCCTGACACGGCCGCGTGACGTCTGGTTGGCCTCTCCGACATCAGTTGGCAGAACCCAACTCCTGGCTCTCCACCCCTCTGCGATCCTCCGCTTCCCTCCACTCCTTCCTATTTTAGTGTCACCAACACGGTCAGCCAGCCGTGTAAGTCAAAATCTAAGCATCCCTCCATTCCTTCAGTCTCTGCCGCCAGCCCATCACCGGGAGGAGAGTCCAGATGCAACCATGCTTCTCCGTTTCCACTCCTGCCGTTTCCTCTGTTGCCACCACCATGGTGGGGACGACAGCAATGACCTCCTCACCAGATTCCCAGCTCTCATGGTCCCGCAGCACCCACACAGTAGCTAGACTTTCAACCCTACCAACCGTCCAGCCTCTGTGCCACCTCACTGCACGTCGCCCTCTCTGTTTCCTGCCATGCCAGCCTTCTCTTAGGTACAGCTGACCCTTGAGCAACACAGGGACTAGGGGCGCCGACCCCAGGCGCAGCCCCAAATCTGCATTTAACTTCTGACTTCCCCAAAACTTAACTACTGTTGACCGGAAGGCTTACCAGTCAGACACAGAGTTGATTGACACAGTTGATTGTATTTTGTAGGTTGTACGTATTATATACTGTGTTCTTACAATAAAGTAGGCTAGAAACAAGAAACGTGATGAAGAAAATCCATTTGTGAAGAGAAAATACATTTACAATCAGTCCTGTGCTGTATTTATCACACTCTCACACACACACACGTGCATGTACAATGTGCACGTAAGTGGATGTGTGCAGCTCAAACTCATGTTGTTCAAGGGTCAACTGTATTTGAATATCTGGAGCTTGAACACTGCCCAACTGTTCCTTCTACGTGGAAAGCTCTTCCTCCAAAAAGGACTGAAAGATTCTCATCACGTCCTCAGAGAGATCCCACTTCCTCAGACTGGCCCATCTAAAGCTATCACCTGGTCACTGTCTGTCATATCATCCTCCTTCAATTACCTACGGAGCTCTTAGCATTATCTGATATTTTTTCTCGTTTATTTAATCATTTTGTCTGCTCCCATGACAGTCAGGCTTGTCTTTTCACCACTGTGAAACTTTGCACACAGTGTCCACCTTCCTAAGTACTGCTGATGGAATGTCTTCATCCCTTTGCTAAATGATGGTCAACCACCCAAGATACTGTGCTCCATACCAAGAGGGAGGAGAAGGATAGGATAGGCTCAGTCTCATCAGTTACAGCTTGAAAGCCGTGTGTGGGAAGAATTTGGCTGGCCAGACTCGTAGTAGGTCACTCCTAAGGGCACTCTTGAAAGGGAGACATTTTGTCCTCACGCATTCCCACCAGGCTCTGCTCTCCTCTAGCATATACCATGTGTCCCGTGCAAGTTAAACAATGATGGTGATGAAGCTAAACAATGATGGTGATGATGGTGATCATTCACAGCATCCCTACCCGTGCCAGCCACCTCAGGCATAATCCTGCTTCTCCTCAAGACAACCCTGGAAGGAACCCAGCACATTCGCACTGAACAGGGCCATCAGCAGAAGCACAGAGAGAGCAAGGAAGCTGGTCAGTCACACAGGGACCAAGGGCAGGCCTAACTCCGTGCTCACGCTTCTCCCACTTGGCCAACTTTCAAAGAGATTGATCACTGGTTCATGCCCACCCACCCATGGCAGCAACTAAAAGACCCAGAGTTAACATCTTGGTTTCACAGAGTTTGACTTCCCCAAACCTGTCGCGTGATGTGACAGACGGAGAAGGAAACTAGGACCGTGAGAGGTTATAAGCCTGGTTCCCTTCACCACATAGCTTTCAAGAAACCAGGTTTCGAGGAAAACATGGTGCTTCCTCTCTTGCCGTGTTTGTAAGCACAGCTGGGAGCAAAGGGTTACCGGGGAAGCACAGCGCAGACGCTGGCCAGGGAAATGCTGTGATAATGTCATCGGTCGGCCGAGAACATTAACTTTCTCTTCTCCTCGGCACCCCTCATGGCAAGAAATACCCAGTTTCCAAACCACTAACCTCGTGAGTTCTTCTTGGAGTTGTGTGTGGTCAGGTGGAAAGAATTTCACCACAAACTTAACGACAACATGCTTTGGCCCTAAAAGGGGGGAGAAAAAAGCAGGAAAGCATTTATTGATTTGTTTCAAATGCAATTAAAGAAAAAGACTTCAGAGGGTATATTAGACACCAAATAACGAGTCTCATTCCAAGCTGTCAAGAGCACATCTGCTGACATCCAGGTCATTGACTAGGTAGTTGAGGTACTAATTTATACTCCCAAGTCTGCCTGTTATAAAATAATGCTTTGACAAGACTATTTCATTCAGGTATTAACCTTTTCCTCTGAAGACTTAAACTGTACCCGGATTGTAAAAACAGGCATCCGTCTTCAAAAATTCATCTAATTGGCTATTTTAGTCCAAATAGAGGGCGTCAGAGAACTTGAGGGAAAAATGAAAATGTCAATTGGTTATACAATTTAGAATTTTAAGCTTTTCACCAGGTACAGCTGCTGATGTGTTCATCAAATATGTATGAGCACCTACGCGGCCAGGTGCTCCCCTGAGCTCTGAGAAAAAATAAGACACGGCCCAGCCCCCCGCTGTCAGCCAAAGCCTTTCTACACCATGGTATGGCTGAGTTCAGGCAAAATCTGGAAGCAGATCTGGGATGGGTGGACAGGGAAGGGATCAAGGTGATGGGTAACTTTTCAGAATTAAAACAAAACATCAAATAGATTATAATAATTTGTAACCTGAATCAGAGCTTGTTTTCATATATGTATGAAATTTTATATATATCAAATATATACACATATGTGTATATATATGCTCAACACCAGAGCAGTCTTACAAGTTCTGCCATCTGGAATGACAGCCAAGAGTTTACAGTCTATGAAATATAAGGTACTATAATGAAATCCAAATTTTAACAGCAGTTGTATTAAAGCAGAAAATGTCTTTTTGCTCTACCTTTCACTGTCACAAAAAATAATGCTGTATTATCATCTGTGATCACACATTTAAGTTGAGGAAAAAAAAAAAAACCAACGGTGACAGAAAATGAAGATGGGGGCAATATACACAAAATTAGGAGAAAAACAAGGCACAGACATATTAAAGCCCAGAGATGCTGGACCCCTCTTCCTTGCCCACTCTAACAAGTAACAGAGACCCTCGCCCGTGGAGGCTGGGTCATAAAGTAACAATAGCAACATGGGGGAGGCAGGAAGGCCAGCCTATTCTCCTGTCCGCGGGGAATCCCATGAGGCTACTCAGATCCTTCTAAAACCTGAAGCAAGGAAGATGCTACCCCTCAATGCAAGAGGACAGCTTTGTCTCACACACAACTAGTCACAGCCCATGGGGATCCAAGGAGAGAGAAGCCCCATTCGGTGTGGACCCAATGGCGACAGACACCGTCTTCCGTCTGCATTTGGCAACGTGCTAAAAGACACCTTTCCACCCTGAGCATTTCCCAGGAGTTACTGCAGGGACACAAGTCATCATTCTGGACGCTTCGCTACCCCCACCTATCAGGCCTGGGGGCTTCTCTCAGCAACGTGTGTCTCCCCCCTCCACCCCGCCCCCCACACTCAGTCTCAGGCCAGCCATCCCATAAACGTTAAACAAACAATGGTGGTTTCATTTTCAGCATCAATAATTGCTTAATTTAAATGACAGAAGACCAACATCAATTCCAAATGCATAAGGGTCCTGCAGACACGGTGCGCCTGTTTATTACCCCCACATAAATTGCTAGAAGTGGCCCAGTGGGGTTTCTTAGTCAGACATTAAAAGGATCGGAGCAAGGTGTCCTGGTGCTTCCTGTTCCACGAATGCCATGCGATTTTGTTTCTAGCCTCAGACTTCTGCCCAGGCTGGGGCTGCAGTGAGGGAGCATTTAGACTCTGAACTTGACCTCAAAGCAGAGAGTGGGGGGCGGGGTGAGTGGGTGGGGGGACTGTCCTGGTCTGAGGCTCAAGGAGAAGGGAAAGAGAAAGCAAGCCTTCTTTCCTTACTCCTCTCCCAAGCCCTCCTTAATCTTCTCCAGCACACGATGTAAATGCAAGCCAGACTCCGTTCAGCTCTGCTTGCCATTCAGAAAAACACACACACAGACACTTTTGGGCACCTTATTTTTTCCACACAACACTTGCACTCTGATTTCCCAGGCTTTGGAGACATGGGACAGAAAACCTAGCCCCGATCTTTTGAAAACAGGGCCCCACCTTCCCTTTCAAAAGTGACAGTAACAAACGCGGGCACTGACCAAGGCAAGTTCAATTAGGCTGGGATTAACAGCAGGCTTTAGTTGTTAAATCGAGATTTGATCTTCCAAGCAAGGTTTAGATTACCAAATTATTAAATATTAAAATTGCAGGGCGCCTGGGTGGCTCAGCTGGTTAAGCGACTGCCTTCGGCTCAGGTCATGATCCTGGAGTCCCGGGATCGAGTCCCGCATCGGGCTCCCTGCTCGTCAGGGAGTCTGCTTCTCCCTCTGACCCTCCCGCCCTCGTGTGCTCGCTCGCTCTCTCATTCTCGCTCTCTCAAATGAATAAATAAAAAAATAAAATCTTTAAAAAAAAAAAGAAATATTAAATATTAAAATTGCAGAAGTGACATTTTAATTGCACTTGGATTAGTGGATGATGACAGGAAATCATGGGGTCAAAACAAAACAAAACAAAAAACCAAGAATCTGTACCACCAGTGCTGGATGCCACAGGGCAAACGACGTTTAGAAGAGGAAACTGTCTGGCTTGTATTTAACCTCACTGTTAAAGGCACGCGCGCGCGAGGGATATACTTACGTCTAATCTGCTTGACAATAGGTTTTAAGAGATCCAGCCACACCTACGAAAAAAAAAACAGATTGAGACAAATTCTCAATGAAAGAGTGCAAGTATTTTGAGACTTGACTTGGAGCTGTTTAAAATCAAAATATTTTTGAGTATTTGAGGCCGTCTATTTGTGTTTTCTGCAGGATGGTGTGTCTTCCATCATCTACCACTTGCATAGTATAGATCCAAATTTGCTAATATCATCCCTGAGCTTCCAAGTTAAAATCTCTCCCAGACTCCAATGGTGAAAGAAGACTTTTTCTCCTCTCTGCTGCACTTTTCTCCCATAGCTAGCTATTCAGCGAACACTGATGCACCATTGCGCGTCTGGCTACAAGTGGAGTGAAACATGCACGCTCCTTAATGAAACAAAATACACGAGTGTGTACGCATTTACAGAACAGCACATCTTTGAGGGATATGGGAAGGGAAGGAATATGGAGAGAATACCACGTCTGCCCGGGCACTATCCATAAACTTTTGACCTCTCAAAACAAGGCCAGAAGGATTCCCATTGTCCAGAAGAATAACGGAGACTTGCAGGGGCCAATAATTTGTCCAGACAGGCAGAGCCCGGGCTGAAACCAGGCCTGTCCAGCTTCAAAGTCCAGACTCTTCACACGCAGGCAATTTAGGAGGCAAAATTAAAAGAGAGAGAGCAGACAGCCGCCCTTATGGAGAAAGCATAATTTAACCATATTATCCCATTTCACACGCTGCTTTTCTCTAAACTCCTTTTGAACTTGTGATCATCTGGAAAGGGTTTTACTGAAGACAAGGTTACTGTGCTTAATGTAAAGAGGGTTTTATAAGTAAATACGAAAAACAGAACACTCCCAAACAATGCAAAGAATAACAGGTAACTGACAGAGAAAAAAGTAACGGTGGCTAACGGGGAAAATGTTCAAATTCAGGAGCAATCCACACTACAAACGCAAGTCTGAAAAATCAAATACCACTTCCACCCACTAAATCTGCATCTAGATAGGACTATATGTATATGTGTATTCATAATACCCCAATTTGGGAAGGAAATGTGCACTGTCTTAACTCTACTGGTGGAGAGATGAATTGGTATGTTTCTGGAGACTAATGAGGGAATAATTATCTAAAGCCTAAAAAAACACTCCTACACATAATCTTCCATCCAGTCATGGAACTTTGGGAAACTTTACATTTATGCACACAAAGATTTATGTGAAATAAAAATGCTGTGATTAGCATTCCTAATGGTGAAAAATTTTTACAATAACAATAAATAAGTAATCTATAGGATACATTACCCTGCAGGCATTAAAAATTATGTTCTTGCTGAATATTTAAGCATGTGGGAAAATATGTTTGGGAGGTTGGAAGATGGATGATTTCCTGTCTTCTGCCTTTCTCCGTTATCCAAATTACCTTAAGTGAGTGCTAAGAATTCTCATAATGAAAACACTAAAAATGTTAAGTATCTACTTATTCAGGTTACTCTTTCCCCATTCACCTTTTCAAAGCAGTGAGATTTCATAATGAAATTCCCATTTCTGTATTTCCCATCCCCTACTGCTCTCCTATAAGAGAAAAAAACAAAAAAACCAATGGCATTAGGGGCATTCGGCAGGCTCAGAGGAGCATGTGATTCTTGATCTCAGGATTGTGAGTTTGAGTCCCACATTGCATGTAGAGATTACATACATAAATAAACTTAAAAAAAAATAATGGCATTACTTGACTTAGGATCATCTCCACTGTGATAATTATAAACCTCAACCTTCAAATGTGAGAACATAAATATTTAAAACCACACTCATCGTTTGCAAGATATATTATTTCCCTCTTAAGACTCTTAACAGATAGGTAAGGTGCCAAATGCATTTCCACGGGATAAGAAACTGAGATCCAGACAATCAGTGCCCAGAGCTGGAACTTAAACCCTGTTCTTAAACTTTTTTATTCATTTAACAAAAAATTACTGTGTCCCCATGGTAGGCTCTGGGAATCCAGTGATGAGACAAACTTAGCATGGTCCCTGCTTCACGGAGCGGTCTAGTGAGGAAGAGACATGAACCAAACCCTTCCTGACAAAAGCAAAGTTGTGCCTGATAGAAACAGAATGGAGGGAGGGCAGAGGACCCCCAAGGGCTGGGAAGGAGAGGTCTGATCAGGGATGGGGGTAGGGGGAACCTGAGACCTGATATGAACATGACACTGTTGAGGGAATGGGTCCCTGAAGATGATGTCGTGTGGAGATGTGAAGGGGACGAGAAGAAGAACACACACGTAAAACCTTTGTCCAGATGCTGGAGGTGTGAGGGGAGCGCTACAGCCGCAGAGCAAGGCGGGTGGGTCAGGAAGGGGTCAGACTGCCCCCCTCCGAGGCCATGTTGAGATTCTTCATCCTTATTCTAAGAGCAATACCAAGTGAGATTTAAGCACAGGTGTGCACTTTAAAAAGATGAAGCTGGCGGTGTGAGAACAGACAGAGGGGACCGGAGTAGATGCAGGCTGAGAGCATGCTATCTTGGACCAGGGGTGCAGAAGCAGAGATGGGGAAAAGTGGGTGGACTGAAGAAAAACTTAAGAGGTAAAATCAAAAAGAACTTATTGATGGACTAGATCTGGTGGCTCAGGGAGGAGACAATGACCAAAACGACCCCAGGATTCCTGGCGAAGGCCTCTGGACAGACACTGGCACCGTTCACAAAGACAGGAGTACCGGAAGAGGGCCAGGATGGAGGTTCTAGACTTTCATTTTATGAGGTGCCCTTGGATTTCATGAGCAAGAGACAGTATGGTAACGGTGGGCGCACTGGTCAGGAGCTCAGAGGCGAAGCCTGGACAGGACACCTCACATTAGAAGTCGCCTTCATTCTGACTCTGCGGAGGGTAAGACAGCCTCACGGAGTCCAGAGGATGAAATGCATGACCAAAGATGGCGCCTCGGCCATGGAACAGCCTGGTGGAAGCAAATGAGGACAGAAGGGAAAAAAGGAAAGTTACGTCACAGAAGCCATGGGAAGACAGTGTTTCCAGAAGGAATTATATCAAGAACTAATGAAAGGTCAAACAAGATGAGAACTAAAATACAGAATGCGAGTTTACATTTCTGTGTCGGGAAGATAGGGAAGCTCCTTATTGCTGCCTTCTGCTTCCCCATTAAATTGGAGGGTTGCAGGACGGAGGCAGGGACAGAGTATGTGAAGTCGTCGTGTTGCATGGGACAGCACGTCAACTGGAGAACCCTAGTGGGACCCCCCGACAGCTGCGGCGTGCGCACTCACGGGCCTGCAGGCCTGCGCTTGCCCGGCCGCCATGGCTGCCTCGGGGGCCCCTCTCCGAGAACCTTCCCCATCGCCAGGTCTGCCACAGAAGCTGCCTCAACTTCCGCAAACCACCCAGGACAAAACAACTGTGCTCTGGCAACGTTGATGCCAATTTTATGAATTGTTTTAAAACAGCTCTCGTCTGTTTTTGGCATTTCTGTGGCAAGCATGGAATACAAGCACCAATTTGAGCCAAGTGAGCATGTGGTTTTAGAACAAGCAGGTCTGGGAACATCAGACCGGCGTGAATGAGGCCGTTTGGTAGGGCTCAGCAGCAGCCATGCTGGGAGCCGTCGATCACGCCACAGCTCACCTGGCGAGGCTGCCGGGGTGGGCGTGGGGGGACGACTCAGGGCCTCTGAGAACCTCACCGCTTACCAGTTACAGTGATATCTGCAGGGCTCAGAGAAAAGGTCTTGCACACAGAGGACTTAAGTTACCACAAATGGATGAGCTAGAAGGAGCAAGAAGACAAACAGGGTTGCTGCTGGACAGAAGTAAAGCACGGCAGTTTCGATATACAGGAAAAGCCACTGGGAAGCATCTGAACTAGACGAGGTCATTGTAGACAGATCACTTGGTCACTCAACCTAAGCAGAACAGAAGCAAGTTCCAGACCACTTAAAAGGGCAACAAAAGCACCATCACCTTTCTTTCCCCGCCCACAGATCTCTAGAGGGTCACAACTGTAATGATCGATCTCTAACCCCACCGCCCACCCCTTCAACCAAGCCACACACACATCCCTGTTCTCTCCAAAACCACGCTGCTGGTCTCCAGAGCACACCTACACATCCACGCTACCAGAGATCTGTGGATCTGGTTAAAATGAACGGATTTCTAGAAATGTCACTCCAGTCAGTAAAACTCACTGATCCAGGGAACTTCCCTGCTAGTAAGAGGTTGCTGGGGCTGCCATGCCAAACCACCACAGACTAGGGGGCTTGGACAACACACTTTTATTTCCTCACAGCTCTGGAGGCTCAGGCTTGGTTTCTCCCGCGGTCTCCTTGACTTCCAAATGGCCGCCTTCTGGCCGCGTGCTCCCATGAGCACGCCTCTGTGCATGCATCCCCCTGGTGTCTCTCGGGTACCTCCAAATTCCCTCTTTGTAAAGTGACAACTGTCAGCTGGATTAATGTCATGGCCTCACTTTAACTTAACCACCTCTTTAAAGGCCCTATCTTCAAGGACAGTCTTGTTCTGAGGCACTGGGTATTAGAGCTTCCACATACAAATTTCGGGGAGACACAACTCAGCCCCTAACGTCTACCTTCCACAGTTTAGCTTCAACACAGCTTTCCAGCCCTGTCTTCTCCTGTTTGCCTACATTTCAGTCAGGCTCCCTATCTTCCCCTGCCTTCTGTTAATATCAGTGTTAGGAGAAACACTTTAATGCTTAGGCATGAACGGTAAGGCAGGATGAACCCACTGTTCCCTCAACATCTTTCGCCTCTATTATTTCGGTGAGTGACATTTTAGGTAGAGTTTGTAGGCAACTAAAATATTTGAGGTATGTTGGAAAGGTTCTTATTAAAAGAGACTCAGTTACTTGGTATCAGAGCACTGGCAAGAGACTATTTCTTGAGCACGTCCTGTGAGCCCCAGGCACTAACTAGACAGGTGCTTTAGACGTTCTCGTTTTATGTTCCAGACGACATGGTCATTTTACACAGGACGGAAGCGAAGCTCAGAAAGCTTATTTAAG